GAGTTCATCTGTAGGTCCCGTGACGGCAGGGTGAGGCAGCATCGCGATACAAATGTGTCGCGATAGTATTCCAGAAATACATGATGTATTTACATGTCTGTATTGTGATAAACCTGTCCAACTATATATATATATACGTATAAACGAATATGTGCAGATGAATGAACCGTACTTAATCCAATGAATTAAAGAATCCAAGTTTTCAGGAACCCGCCGAAAGCCAAAAATTGGCGGAGCCAGGATTTGAACGCAATGTCCGGTCGGGTGTGCTAACCACTACACACTCCACCTTAGCTTTCTGGCGTTTCCTACCTGTCTTATTAATGCACAAGAAACGAAATGTGTCCAATCGGAGGTGTTCTGGAAACACACGCCGCCGCGTGGAACGCGGTACGACGCTTAGTGTCACGTGGTACGTGCTCGTTTGTGCTCCAGAAATCCTCCCACTGTTTGTCTCGCCCCGTGTACATGTAGTATTCTTTGCTTATGAGCTTTTTTTCGTTACACTATTGTTAGTTATCATATCGGGTCCGATGCATTTTGTTACAATTTTAAAATGATTTTTGACCTCCCACAAATTTCGAGACCAGGTTTCGTATGAGACGTGTTGTGTGTGCCTCTGAGCGCACATGACTCCCTTCTTTATTGTGCAAAAGTTAACACACGTTTTCCCACACTTGGGACGGTGGACTATTCCAGCAGATTCCAAAAGTTGAAGGCACAGTCGACGCGCCCAACTAGCAGATAAAAGTATACGGGTTTCTTGAACTTTATTCAGCGGTGACGTCATAAGGTCACCGCTGAAAGAGGCGTTCGGACTGGATAAAATCGTAGTGACTTCTCGAGGTTATTCGGGAGGACAGAAAACTCATTTATATGTCCCTGTGGCAGTAAGTACTCGATCGCTTGCTGGTTTAAAGACAATATCACGTAATCTAAATTGTGCTTCTTTTTTGTTCCTTGTGTTGATTGAAGAGTGCACCAAAACATCCAAAATAATGTTTTTATAACAATGTATTTCTGTTTCTGTATTCCAGCCCCACCCAATTGTATTCCTGTATTTGTATTTGCAAATATTGTTCAATTTTTCAAATGTATTTCTGACACGCATCTCGATACATTTTTATAAATGTATTTTCAGTATCAGTATTGCATGTGTTTTTGCCATGTTTCCCAGTATTTGTGTTTACAAATAGTTTCGAGAATATTTCTGCCCAACCCTGCGTAATGTCAGGTCACATGAGATCAATTTTCCTGCCAAATTTAGCTGAAAAACTGAATGCGTTCTCACGCCGTCGTGAATCATGGGGACGAGCACGTAACCACTACCGCTGTGAAAAGTCGGCGAATCCAACCACGACGGTCAAATTCCTTGCCAACGTTTTCGTCTACTGCTCTTTTTGGAGCCCCTTATAGCATCCATGATTTTGAACGAGTGGATTTAAACGAACCAGTTAATTATTGAAACGATACACTGGTCTTCGCTCTTAGATTATAGGCATCAGCTCGGGTATTTTTTATATCCTGAAAGATGTACTCGTTTAAGCATAGAAAAACACTGATTCTGCTGAACATGTCAGTATGCGGGAGATTTTTAGAATATACCATACTTAAACATAAATTTAATGCTTAAACATTATGAACGTTCTTTTACACGCGGTGCCCAACCTTATCGTCTTTTTTTTTTCAACATACCCGCGTCTATCACGTTTTTCTTTTCACATTTCATAGATGTTTTTAGTTCCACAGTTTATTTTGAACACACTACCCTTTTAAATGATGTTGCCATTTCATTGCGTGTCTTCTAACGGGTAAAGTAGTTAAATTATTTTCTTAACTGCGTTTCCTCCGGGGGGCTCTAACTTGCAGGATGTTACCTCGCCGTCAGAATCGTGCCAACCTAGCGCCACTCTTCTTCTCTTTCCGAGCTTACTATACTCCGCCACAACTTTTCTTGGCACTGCAGTGGAAGGTACAGGCCCGCGTCCCCTCTCCCATTCTTAGTGTGCGCAGGCTCTCCTCCCCCCCCCCCCCATTTCCGGGGAGAGGAGGAGAGCCCGCGCACACTCAGAATGGGAGAGGGGACGCGGGCCTGTACCTTCCCCTGCATCGCCAAGAAAAGTTGTCGCGGAGTATAGCCGTAGATGAGCAATTTAGCCAGTGCAGTACACCCGCTAGCCTGGGGTCTTTAACGTGCACCACGCAGTAGTGATACACGAACACACGCCGGTACGATGCTCATCCTGATCGAAACGGACAGGGGTGGGGATCGAACCCAGGATCCCCCGGGTTATGCGGCGCGAGCCAATATACTTATATTGTTTAAATAAATAGTGTGTTTTAGTACAAGATTAAAATTTAGTCCTACCTCTTTTTTGAGAGATGACCTATAATATGTATTAACCTTCATAAATTTCTTTCTGTGTTTGTTTAACATTAAATAAATAATTAAATAAAAATAATTTAAATAAATAGTGTGTTTTAGTACAAGATTAAAATTTAGTCCTACCTCTTTTTTTAGAGGTGACCTATAATATGTATTAACTTTCATAAATTGTCCAATAGTTGTCAAACTTGTTTAGCACAAATACCTACAAGAAAACAGCATATTTACTGTTTCCTTAAAGTAAAGCAAGGTCGCCTTTTGATACGATAGAAAAATGTTTCCACAGCAGAAATGGACTTTAGTGTTTTTATCTAAAAAATTCATAATGCATTATGGTCAAACTCATGACAAGCGGCTCTAATAGAGAACGGTGAATAACCCCCATTGAAAAACAAACAAACAAAAAACCTTTTGCTTAGTTTTGGCGCAGCGCTTTTAATAATGATTGTGCTGTTATAATGCCCAAAGGAGGTTTTCGATTACCAAAATTCCAGAAAATAGTCCGGTATATGTATGTCTGTGTGAAATAATATTCTGGTTAAGAGTCTGTTATTGTTATCAAATAATTTTTACAACAGATTTAATAAGTTTCATTATGAAAAAAAATATTGATTATAGTACGAATCGATTAAAAGTGTGTCAATTGGTATCACGTGTGGATGAATAGTACAGAGCAGACACGAACTTTCACCACAAGGACCATTAAAAAAACGAAACACTAATGCAAACGTTTTGTATCTTCGAAATGAATAAAGCGCTTTGAGAAACAAGATATATATTTTTTTAAATGTGAAATTTTGTTATGGGTTTATTAAGCGAGTTCAAAGCATTTAACAAAATCCTTCAATGCGCGACTCGTCACGACAATTCGGCCGGAGATAAGTTGGATAGAAAATTTATGACACTTTTCTAAACATTTTCGTGATAAATTGGAACAAATTTGGTTACAAGGAAGGAACACAAGGCGCATAGACTTCAAACACCCAAGCACTGAAAGATCACGTGAAATTTCGAGCCAAGAATGCCACCTCGCGTCGCACAAAGAGAACGCGACTCGAGGTGAGACCGAACAAAACTAAAACAAGGGGAAACTAGGTGTACGAGAGAGGTGCACTCATATGCCTTTAGGGAATCAGAGGCCTTCTACCTCCGTACGAAGAGGGGCGAGCGATAAAAGAACACCTCTATTGGCCAGCGGGGCGAAACCACCATCCGTCTCAGGAACTCCTCTTCACCTAGCGTAAAAAAAGTTCCGAGACCAGAGGCCGGAGCAAGTTTCCACGCAATCGCGACAGCAGGGGCCACATTGCTCGTGTTTTAAATCGTTGCTGGCCGACGGCTGCACAACGGTTCTTCAGAAGAAGCAGTCGGCCGATCCCCAAGAGTAGGGCGTCGCCCCATGGTGGGCGGCCTTCCGAGACGTCGTTTGCGAGACCCAAGCTTCGGAAACCGCGAAGAACCGCCAATCGCCAAAACGAACGAGCGACCAACATTCGACGGAAACCTGGACGTTCGTCTCCTCACATTTCGTGGCACGGGGATCGGGAACCGTGCCCCAGCGGTCAAGTCGCCGTTTGGTAGGCAGGAACCCCCGACGCTTAGGTAAATCTTCTTGGCCTCGGGGACTTCCATTAAAATCCCCACACGAGTCCCACGACGCGTCGCACTGTTGCCTCCGTGGTTGTACAAGGTTTCTGCAGACGTTTGTACTTGAGCTCGCCGTTTGAGGCACGGGTTTCGAACCTCTTTTCGCGTTTGTTTTCAAGGTACCTCCATCGCCCTCTGAATTCAGATACCGACAGTGCATTCTTTTGCCCGGCGCTTCGAATATCTCACGCGAAATGATTTCCTGTTTCTAATTTTTTTTAGCAGTCCTTGATTTTTATGACGTATGAACCCCGCACTTTATTTGGGGCAGGTTTATTTTTATTTTTCTCGGGTTCACATTAAAGTTAAGTGCAACACCTAGAGACAAGAAAAAAGATGTTTCTTGGAGAAATATTAGAGGGCTCCTTGTTTTATTGTTTCCCATTTAATACATCTTTGTTTAATTGCATTTATAATATATTGTTTTCTTTTTCAGAAAATACTTCGTTTTTTTTCCATTTATTATACATTTTTAACGTGCCTCTGGAAATAAGAAGAAATCATATTCGTCGGGACTCAACAATCACTTTATATACGTTTTTGTTTCATTGCCTACGGGCACTGATCTAGTCCAGACGCCGAGTGATTGTTCGATTATTTCTAGCGAAGGCAGCAAGACTAACACGTTTTCTGTCGTTTATTAGGCACATATATAGATACGGACGGATAGTAACGTACACTCGGACGCCGTGCCTACGGCCGACTCGACACAAATGCGGATAATTTGCGACGGAAGTGACACAATCGCTTCCGCCACTCCAATAGGAGAGGCCGCTAATTTTTATTTCCGCTTTTCTGCACCGCCACAGCAGCGTAAGGCGTGTTTTTATTTGCGCATCTTTTTATCGGAAGAAACCATCATAGTCAAGCAGTTGGCAATAATAAAAAGAAAAGTATTCACGAATGATTACGTTGGTTGCCAGATTGTTGCTTGTAGATTTACGATACCGCGAACGTCCGAAAGACGGCTCTGTCGAGAATTCGAACAAAATGAGGGCATCTCAACAGGAAAGGAGGAGCGAATTTCACGAGCCGTGCGGACGGACTCGTTCGGATATAAAAGCAGCGCGGGACACGGCTGCAACCACGCATTCGCTCTTCCAGCTGCCAACTGCACTACACTGGAAACATGAGGACTCTGGTAAGTCTCGTCGCTTAAAGGGGCGGTGCAACGATTTCCGGGCTTCGGTCAAAGATTTGCGGAACTCTGACACTTCTGAAGAACAGAAAACCGATTTCATCTGCGCGTCCTAGTTGCTGCGTAAAAAAAAAGATAAATATTGGCATTTCGGGCACCCTCAACTCACTCCCAGTCTTCATTGTCACACCTGGTCCCCCTCCTAGTGACGTCATTCGGAGTGCCGTGTAGCTTCCCGTGTGCTCTCTCGGAGGGCGCTTCCTCTCTCTGCTGACATTAGCGGGCGTTATGCTGCAGCTTAGAGCCGAGAGAGGTCACGTAATCTTCAAGCCGTAGTTCCTTCGGCGGCCACTTGGGACTGCAGGTGGGGGGAAAAGCTTGACTTTTGGTTTGGGATTATGCACCTTAGTCGTGACATTTTTTAATGAACGAGATGTTTCTTTATCCTCCGGGACACGATAAGCAACGTAAAAATGACGAGATGCAAATTCTTTTAATTATAAAATCGTTGCACCGCCCCTTTAATGTCCATGTTCGTCTAGGTTGCTTTCACATGAAAACAAGAAAAACACGCGTGTCGGAGTGACAAGTGATATATTATAGACCCATTTCCTCAACATACAAAACCACCTTTTACTATTTTTTAAAATTATATTTGTTCACAAAATATTTCGAGAGGAGCAAGTTGAAATGCTATATCTAGGATGCTTGACTATTGTACCGAATTCTATCGGTAGCTAAAAAAGGCGAAAACAAATACACTCGCAGTAATTTTAGTTTCCAATGTACTACGCATGTGTTATTTCGTTTCCCGTTAAAGTGCTTTGGCATATTTTATATACGAGAAAATGCCAAATATCGAATCTTCGTTTCGGTGACATATTCAGAGCCTCGTATGTTGGACTCATTATATGTTTAGCTTATCATATACTACGAACCTGTAGGCCGGATACCTGTGCTATCGACTGCTACCTACATTGTTAGCTGTATTGATTTTCACGGAATAAAGCGGGAAACACATGTACGACGAAACCGTCCGATCCGACGTCCGACCGCGCAATACGACGGTCGGATGCGGACTGTTTGGTCGTGTCGCAACGTCGGAAGGGCGTTGCGGCATGCGACGGACTGCATGCGGTGGTCGGATGGCCACAGCCAATGACGACGCAGGTAGCGAGAACGTCATGAGGACGTCACGTTTTGGGGAGTGGGCTATTCAGGAGCAAGATTCCGGATGCGAGTCCCTATTCCGACGTCGTAATGGCCACCGCTCTGGCAAAAAGCTCTCGCGCGTCGGAAAACGAACTTCTGATTTCGCTTATCCATAGTCGGCCAGCGATTTGGAACCAGAGGGATACGTTATACAGAGACGCCGATGCGCGACTTGCGAGTTGGACGTTTGTCGCGCGAGGCATGGGCTTCGCTGGATCTTCAGGTACGTACACAGCGCGACAGCGCTGGTTTCCCATGTTCCTTGCACAGGTTAGATGTTGTGATCCTCTCTAGATGTTTGCGAAGGGCCTAAACTCGGGGAGGGGAGTTTCGTGTAGTTTTATGGAATTGCGTTTCGTGGACAATTTTTTGTTGACACTGACGTTTCGTGGAAAGTCGTTTCGCGAAACAAGCTGTAGCGATATTTTGACGCGCGTGAATCACTGGGACACGTGTTTATCTGCCTGGTCACTCTGCAGCGGCTGATTACAGAAAAAGCTAATTCGAGCTGCCGACGAAACGATCTGTCCATGAAACGTTGTTCGACGAACTGATTGCCACTGAGGTAGGTCTTCCATTCAAAGATACCAGATGGGTTGTTTTGTTACTATACTTCCCTCTGCTTTTTTTTTACGACTTCTGGTACCTGTAGAAGACATACATTTCCTCAATTTTTTTTTGCACCATAAATTTAGTAGTGCAGATAGGGAAGTTTAATCCCTCATATCAAACAAAATGGTGAGTTCATGTCATGCAAATATCACATGAATTGACAGCTAGTATATATCAATTTGCCCCAACATTATTTGTAACGTTGACTGTCCTGTGTGCAACTTCTACAGAACATGTTTTTGGTGACCAGACTTATCTTTCCATTGACATCTGCATCTCAAAAAGCCTAAAATGTATAAATCTTCTCATAGGCGATATCAAGGCCGTCACCAATAGGTGGCGATACCTAAGAGATACCTTTGGAAAGAAACTCAAAATCGCCAAAATGAAGAGCGGTGCTGCAGCTGGGGAACCGAAGTCCCCATGGATCCACTTCAAGCAGATGCTGTTCATAAAAGACTTTGTGGAGGGACGCAAGTAAGTATAGTTACAAATTTTTTTTTTTAGTGTGGCTGAAATACAGCAGTTTATGTCATAAAGTTCCTTTTTAACCTTTCTCTCATTTCAAGCAAGAAATTCAAGATAACCACCTACTTGTTCCAATATTTCATATTTCTCTAGGACCACGAGCAACATGAATGGTTCAAGACCCGCAACACCCACAGCGCCTGAAGAAAACTCTGTGGACGAGGTCCTGAGAGGGTACGAACAGGAAGAGGAGGAGGAGGAGGAGGAGGGGGGGGGAGACCCATCTGAGCTCCTCTTGTCCATGGTGTCTTCTGGCAGTGACGACAGTATCTCCAGCCGTTCTCCCATTTCAACCCTCCCTTCCACTTCGACTTCTCAGCCACGCCATAATCAGTCTGCCTCTTCTGCTCCCTGCCGTTCCCTGCCTTCTCCTCAATCCATCGCCGCTGCTTTTTCTCAACCGAACTCAACTCCACCACGCAATGCTCCAAATAGAAATAACGTACCTAAATGAAGGCAGAACACAGATGTCATCATTGAGAGCATAGATCAGCAACTTCAAAACAAAATCACTGCCACCGAACACTTTTTATTATCACTTGCTCCTCTCGTGGACAAAGTGCCTGAGGACCTGCACGGGTACTGCATGATGCATCTTGTGGATGTGATCACGCAGTACCAAAGGGGAATGGTCCCAACCACCCTGATGCAGGTCCAAATGCCTGAACCCGATACTTAAGATCTAAATCCATGTTTATTGGACAGAGACACACACATGCGCAATTAAATGCAAAGGTGGAAGCGAGCTTGACTGGTGTGCGACCAAAAGAATCTGCCTGGTCCGGATATCGAACCCGGGACCTCTCCATTTTCAGTGGATAGGTCCCGGGTTCAATACCTGGACCAGGCGGATTTTTTCGGTCGCGCACCAGTCACCTACATGTGTTTGGAGATTTGTGTTAGTCTTTTGTCCCTTTCGTTACATACGCACCTGTCTTACCCTCATTCGGAAGGGGATTCTTTATTTTTTAGTCTTTCAATACACATCCCCACCTCAAAAGTTGTCTTACCCTCATTGCCACGTGCACTGGTCATATGGCCCTAGGAATGCAAGTTACATATCATAAAGTGTACTAGGGATGATAGCATCTGCTGTTCCCTCGACTGCTTTGTATGGCAAGGATTTAGCGCTCCCATGGGCATATTGCCAAGAACGTTCGCGAGCAAGCGCGTGCATGGCCGAGTGGTTACCGCGCTTGACTGTCGCGCAGAAGGTGTAGGTCCGATTCCAGTTAGCGGACTGTCCATTTATTCTTTCAACTTGGCCTTCTCATAAGTTCGAGAACATTCTCGTCTAATCAAGTTCCGAATGCTCTATGCACCAAAAGTTCCACGCCGAACGATCCAGAAACCCACAAGGCTAGATAAGGGATTCGGCAAGGCGAGTGAAGTCAGTCTCGCCCCAGCGTTCGACTCTGCAGTTACGCTGACTTCGACGCCCACAACGCTCTGCTGTTATCCTGTTTGCCTTTTGTTTTGGGCACTAGTTCGCCCCATTAAACATTTCAGTTTCCCCAGTTAATATTTGTTTCCTCGCCTGTTCGTTTGTGACAATATGACCAATGTGCGTGGCAATAGGAGAAAAGCATGTGTGTTTCAATGTCCAATCCATCTACTCATTCATTAATGCAACACTTCACTGAATAGCACAATATTTATACATGACACTGAAATATAACAGACAAACAATGCTTGAGTTTGCTACAGCTTTTTTATTTTTTCCTAACCATTGGAGAAAAAAGTGCAATAAAATCTTGACTTGAAAATATTTGTTTTGAGACCAACATTGGAACCCCAGTAAAATAGATCTTTGAAGGAGCAAAAAGTGATGTAATTTTTTACATTACTTTAATAAATAGCATAAAGAAAGAGGAACTGCATGTTGCAATTACAAAATGAAAAAAAAAAAAAAGATTGTGGCAGTAGAAAACAGCACAAACAATAATAAAGAAATAATTATTAACTAGTGCTAAGTGGAAAGAATAGTAGTGAAAGGACTACATAAATATTCAATACATCTTAAAACACGAGGCCATATGTTGAGTGCGAAATCCCAGCACCCTTCAACTGAGCTCATCGAATTTGCAATGAAATATTTTACCCTACTGCTAGATGACCTACTCTGAAGCCCGGTGGCTTCAATATATATGACAATTTTACATCACCCAACTTTATTAATTACTCGTCTTCATAGCGCCGAATGGCACAGCAAAGTGAATCTAACTAAACCTCCAACTCTAAATATTAGTTGAGTTGGATTCGGATCAGATTGGCGACGACAACGGGAAGGGGGAAGCGAAGGAGAAAAAGATGAGAATGATCTACTGAATAATGTAGAATAAATCAACGTTTTAGATTAACCAATGAGTTTGTAATACCAATATAGGGATCATTACATCAGTTATAGCTATTAACTGTAGGATATCACCGCACAATAGTATATCTCATTATCTGCAGGTCGATGTGCCGTACAAATGGCAACCAGCATGTAGTTTTGAAACGCCGCTGTTAGATGGCACAGAATTGCTAAAAGGGTCTATTGCATCCCACAGTGCACTAAAAAAATTGCAATTAAAAAAAGAAAAAGAATGAACATGGCCCAAAGGGCAAACCTGAGCTTTCAGATTGCTTAGCGCTGCAGTACAGCATCT